TAAATGAAATGAATAAACTAACTAACTAACTAAAATTAAAATTAACTAACTAAAATTAAAAGAGATGTTTCTTTATTTTATACAAGGTTCAAAGGATGACGGTCTACGATGGTCAGTAAAATCTTGGCTGTAATCATTAAAGTAATGTCTGTACATAAAAAAGTAATTAAAGTGGTGAAAAGTTCCAATTCTCTTCTCAGCTTCAGTGCATACTTCCAATTAAAGCAACAGCCAATGGTTCCCACAGCTACAATAGCATATGCTAATGTATCACAGCTGCTGTCAGAGTTGCTTCTGCACAAGCTTGTTCAGTTAAATGATGATAATGGAAGTTTTAAGCTGCTTTAAGCTAAGCTGTTGTCATGGAAAGTTTAATTGCTCCTCGGCATGAAAAACACTTCATGCTCCAAGGGCTTTGATTGAAGCTATAAGAACATGCCACGTTTCACAGCCATAAATGTGCCATCTTTATAATAACACTTTGTGTTTTCGTAGGAAGCTATTTTTTGGAACGTCTTCATGTTCCATAGGAAAAGTCGTTTGTCAAAACCTGAAGTGATGAGGGTCTAAATTATGTTGATGCACTGAGCCTTTCTGGTCTATATTTTATGATTGATAGCAGATCAGACAGTGTTTGTAATGAGACTGGAATCACTGCATGTTTGGTTCTTTACAGGATCGGACAAAATACAGACATCATTCAGGATATTAAAGATTCATATACTGTGAAAAGACTGAATTGATTTAACACTTTCTGAAAAAAATATGCCAACATAGCAAAGAACCACTTTTGGCACATATCCCCTAAAAGCTGTATTTATTAAGTTCCCTTCACACTGGATGATGAGCCCCATGACTCAAAGTAATGACTCAAAACACTTGAATTCAACAATTGGCAGCTACAGTATGTTCAAATAGTCTTGTATATACTATATAAAGCGCAACAGCTCAGTGGTTAACACCAATGCATCACAGCAAGAAGGTCCTTGGTTCCAGTTCAGACCTGGGGTCTTTCTGTGTGGAGTTTGCATGTTCTCCTTGGGTTTTCTCCAGGTTCTCCAATTTCCTCCCACAGACCAAAAACATGCATGTTCCATTGCCCTTAGGCCCAGGCCTCCCTTGCAAGAGAGATCTATGATCTTGATAGGATTTACCTGGTTATATAAAAGGGACATACCTAAATAAATATATTGTATAAAGAGACTTGCGATGTACTTGTGAGCTGTCCAGGGTGTCCCCCGCCCCTCACACATGACCCTGAAAGGAAGAAGTGGGTAAAAGACGATAGATGGAGCATGTTACCCATGTATTGCATTCTTTTCATGGGCTGCTTGTTTCTTTTCGGATTGTTTTTAAAGTTTCACTCTTGGTTTTTAAATGTTGAAATGGTCTGGCACCTGTTTCCCTTTCTGAGCTCTTACCAGGGATGTCAAACTCATTTTAACCTAAGGTCACATGAGCGTTATGGTGGCCCTCGAAGGGCCAGTTGTAATTAACTTTGACGTTTCATGTTTAACTTTGATTAAACGGTGTTTTAACATGTTGTCTTTTAAACACTGATAAGAACTAAGTGTATGACTGACTGAATCTGAACTAAACACAGAAATATTAAAAGTATAACTTATAAAGTTTTACTCACTGATGAGTTTCTAGTGAGTAGCTAGTATTCATTATGGCAGATTTAGTTTATGGTTGATGCTGACTTTAAAGCAGCTTATTTTCAGACATTAACACTGTGCTATCCAACTACTGTAAATTGCTCAGTTACTTAAAGCCAACAACTCAGGGGCAGGACAATTGTTATTATCTTTCACCTTTTTAATTTATTTTGTTGCATTTAATCATAAATTTGAAATTTACCATTTTACCATTGATATAAGAAACAATATTCATGATAAGCAACCCCCGCAACACACACACACACACACACACACACACACACACACACACACACACACACAC